TCCAGATTTATAATGGGTTCATTCGCTGTTAATAATACCAGCTAACACAATGTACTGCGGCTCCAATCAACTGCTCTAAAATGACATCATTTCGTTAATTAATAGTGTTGTTTTTTGTATGCGCAGCTGGTAGTATGTGAGCTGCATGTTCCTTTGAGAGGGAGACTGGATATGCAATGTCATACTGCATCATATCATGCAGCTACTCTGGGAATTATTTTTAGCTTATTACTGTTCTGCCCCATACACATATAAGGCTATGAGACCCAGTTCACCCTTGAATCCGTGAGAAAGCTTACGGTACTGTATTACGAAAAACACACCACAATTTTCATAACTGTTGTCTGAAATGTCTACTGATATCTTATATACTGAGTTACATCCATTCCAGTTTAAACAATATAATGGCTATTTTGGTGACATTAATGAATGAGAAATACCCATTTTCCTCCTACTCAGTTATCCTGGTCAGTGTCCTGGCCTACAGCCCATCGCAGGCAACATAGGGCACACAGGTGGGCTACACCATGGGTGGGATTTCTTCACAGGGCAGATGTACACGCACCCACACTCCATGGCCAATTGCAAGAAACCAGTTAACCTAAGTGGACACCATTGGATTGAAGGAAGACCCAGAGTACCCAGGGAAACTGACACAACACGGTGAGAACATGCAAATTCCACACACACAAAGTCCCAAACCTAAACACATGGGGCAACAATGTTTCCCAATGAGCCACCAAGCCATCTGGGTGTGTAAATCCATGTGGGGAATACATTGTGAAAACACAGGATTAAAGCTTGTTAATATATTTACTGACTTTTCACTACAGGGCACTGCAGGTGCAGATGCGTTTTCCATTCATCTTCAATAACTGCTCATCCAACAAGCAGTGAACTAAGTATATGGCGGCAAGAACAAGGGATAACATGAAGAGGATGTAGCCTATCACAGGGCACACGCACAGTTGCACAACACCAAGAACGATTTATCAGTCACCTGCCTGCATGTTTCGGGGAAAGCAGGGCGAACACACAAAATTAACAGAAATCAGAACCCAGCCCTGAAGGCGTGAGACCACAGGGCTACTGATTAGGATCCTGCATATTTACTGGGGAGCTTTACTCACAACAGAAAACCAAGCTTTGAGATGTAAAAATCTATACAGTCATTATGTAGTCATGAAATACCAGTAAAACTACTGCTATTTAAAATTCATTTTAAAAAGCATGTTTACTTGTAATGCATAAGTGTATTTGTGCATTTCTTTAAAAAAATAGCTACTTTTTATAAGTATTTATACCTGATTATACAATTACACTTTAAAAATGCTCACATGACCAGACTTTCCTATTCATATCTATGTTCTTATTCATTACTCAGATTCTTGCAGGTAATGTCTGGGTAGATACTGTAAAGCAGAGACAGATCCAAGGTTCTCATCACTGTCCCACCTGGGGGCCATTTATTCCCTGTTGCTCCCTGTGAGTGTGAATAAGTCAGTGTATTCTGTATACTGTATTACTGTTATGCACAGTAAGAACAATTACAATAGAATTAGAATAAAAACAAATAAAACAAGTAAAAACATGTGGAGTACAAAACTGAATAGTGCTTTATGCAGAACAGATTGTTATTATTAATGTGTGATTTACAAAGTTACAAAAATGATTTAGCTTTATAAATTTAAATCCAATCCATTTAATAGCATTTAACAGCCACAGAACATTTTCCCTAATAGAATACAAAATATTACGCCACTGATTCAGTTCAGACGGGTGTTGAGGACGTTATCATGTTCGGGGTATCAGATAGAGCAACTGAGCTGTTACTGAGGCTGATCTGCAGCCTCAGCCCATTTGCGTGCACGGCTAGCTAGCTTTAACGCTATTAAATTTCGGTGGGAATGCATTCCCCAGCCATAATGTGCGAAAGGCTAGACTCGCGGTTGGAGGTGAATGCCACAAAACGAACAGGCAGCCCAACTGACTTCCCGCTGCACAGCGATTACCAGCTCCCAAAGATGTCACAAACATCACTCAGTGGTCAAATCGTGTGTTAGAACAGGTTGCAGGCAGTATCTCACGATCTCCCAGCCATGCTCTCCCAGCTGTTCTGTGATGCAGGAAACTAATTTACACTGGGTTTTGGGTGGCTTTTTACAGTGCTGGTGTCAGATTGTGCATGTTGTAAAGGTAGATCAGTAAAACACATCAAACTACATTCCCTACACCATGCCAGTATACTTACAGAAATGTAAATTCCCAGCCAGTATACCTACAGGAATGTAAATTCCCAGCCAGTATACCTACAGGAATGTAAATTCCCAGCCAGTATACTTACAGAAATGTAAATTCCCATTGATGTTTAAATAAAATTAAGATATCAATTGCATCCATCCAGTTTCTAATCTCTTATCCAGGTTAGGATCACATGGGGACCTGGACCCTATCAAAGATGGATGGGATGCCATGGAAAATATCCATTCCTTTAAAAAAAATTTAATAAAATTCCCACTGATGTTGAAAGAGCCATTAGTCATACATCATAAAAACACTCACACCAAATTCAGTAGAGCAGCCAAAGGCAGTGTTCTTTGTGTGCTGCAAAATGATGTGATGTTGGCAGCTATTCTTTCGCCTCATGAAAGAAAACATCAGAGGTCAGTGCTCTGCGAATGTAGCCCTGGCAAAATGTACACCAGCAGAACTGGAAATGGAAACGGCACTGGGCTTGATGTCATACAGCTGCTTTATTAATGTTTTCTGTTACGACAAAGGGCACTTTGGTGTCATGGAGGGGCAGCTGTAAAGGTATCAACTGAACACTTGGTTTTAAGTTAAACTCTGTACCTAACCTATTATAATAACTTTTTAAGATAAGTGTCCAAGAACAGGTTCTCCCTAAGAAGTATAAATGGAATATTTAACAAAGAGTGCTATTTGATAGCTGTAAACCAAAATGTAAAACCTATATATAAGCCTAAATCATTCTGAAAAAACTAAACATTAACATCTATAGCCACAAGCTAGATGAGGATAAGCAGTTAGAACAATGAATGATGGATTGATGGACAGATAGATGGATGGATGGATCAATATCCACAGACATATCGTCCACTCATCCATTCATCTTCTATACTACTTATGCAGTACAAGACTGTGGTGACATACAGTTCATGTAAAGATATATGTATCTATTTCATAATTTATATCTAAAAAAATATCCAATGGATTTCTTATGTACAGCTACAGTAAAATACAAAAGAGCACCAGCCCAACACAAACTGATCAAACGGTGTTTTCCATTTATTTCCCCTTCCTTCTGAAATCTTTAGAAAAACCTCAGTCGCTATTGCATCACTCAGTTCTTAGAATGTGTCAGTTATGGGATGTTGAAGATGCTGAAAAACAAAACATTTCCTGCTTTTCCCAAGCAGACAAAGAAGCACATTTTAGCTTTCAAGTTTCATATCCATTTTTTTTTATAAATATATAATATATTCACCTTGAACTAAGTAACATGTTGTTTACTTTTACTTTAAAAGTTTAATCTGGCAAGACTAATGCAAAATTTAAGGTGTTTTGACGTTTGGTGATAGTAGAGTAATTTATAGAGTAAAATACTAAAATATAAAAAGTCATCTAGTTAGACAACCTCACATGCTGCTGTTTCATTAACTACAAGCACATTTTTTGCAGTTTTCACTACTGTTATTTATAAATTTTTTTATATTAGAACCAAACCTGAGACAGACAAATGTAGTATGATTCCAAAATTGTCATTAATGTGTCTTTAAACCTTTTCAAAGACCCTATTACTAAAACTATTAATACCAAATAACACTATTTTGTTGGTATAAAAAGTTCAGAGCTCTCATAAAATAATATATTAATTTCATTATAAATATAATAAATATGTGCTTTGATTGGATATACCAGTCAACTAAACGTAGTATCACAATACATTACACAATACATAAGTATAACGGTAGTAACGTACTTGCTACTGGAGCACACTTAGACTTTGGGTGCGTTTAGGAATGAACAACTGGTCTTACATAATTTTGTCACGTGCATCTTTGCTTCATACGGGATATACGTGAATATTAAAACCTGAACGAGGAAACGGGATGCAGAACTGCTGCCGCCCCGATATACAGTACATGCCCACTTTTAGAACAAAACGATCAGTATATAGTAGATCGATATTATGTAATCATCATATAAATATAACACGACTTTTCTACTACCTACTAAAATGACAAACTATTATACATGACAAACCTATTGTGAGCTAAAAGTGTATTTTTACAATATTTAATAGTAAACATGTCTATTGTAGAAATGTTTACCAATACACACATTTATTTGTGCGTGCATGCACGTCTTTGTGAAAACATTAAACTTTATATCCTTAACCAGATTTTATTTTCAGCCAAAATGACTATAATTGAATTTTCAAAGAGTAGTCAACTGATATGTAGAAAACAAAACTTAAAAAATTCACAATTTCGTTAATATATGCTTAAATTGGAATTTAGTATTTATTAGTACCCTACAAGTATCTCCATTGAGTACTCGAATACCAGTAGTTCTGTGCGTTTCAAATAATCCGCCTAAACTCACTATTATTGTAAGACACGCAGTAATGGGTATCGCAAGTGCGGTCACAAGAATTACTGATGAATGGCGTTACTGAAGTGTATAGCAAGGGGATGAATTCCCATTTGCGTTAAACAGCTATATATATTAAACAGCCTGAACATACAAGCATGTCATGTTGTTTCTCCTTATAACATGTAGTCTTGCTAAAATGTAAATTTGATATAGACTAACGAAAAAAGTAATGTAAAAAAGGACAGAGTTGCATTACGCATATCTCTAGATTATCTCCATAATCCCCTAAAACATGCAAATCTACCTAACGATATCGTCTCTAGAGACAGAGGGACGTTGGTAAAATGAGAGTTCAAACTACACGTTTAAGCAAGACTTACCCCATTTTGGCTGATGTGTTTGATGGAAATGTAGTGCGCCTAACTGAAGCTTCCCACGGTGGTTATTGCTGTATTTCCCCCACTACGGCGCTGTGGATAGCCTCGACGGTGGCGGCGTTTTGATGAGGTTTTCGAGATTCGCTTCTCTTCAGTAATACATCATTTTAAATCCAGCTATGAAATATCGAGTTCAGATTAAATCCAAGGCAATGTATTCACTGTGTGCATTAGCAAATGTCAAATCAAATGCATTTTAAGTTCTTATTTGCAGGTGTGCTCACCCAGAGAAGCAAAGGCAAATGAAGCTACTTTGAAAAAAATCTCATTATAAATCGTTCTCTTTTAAATGTAACTGTAATTGTAGAGCACAGAGGGCTATGGTTTGCTCACAGATAGGAAGAACAGGGAGCGTTTGTGTTCATTGGAAGGGTCGCCAGCGTCACTGCCTTCTCTGATCTCCAAATGACCCTTAAATATCCACTCGGTCTGAAACACAGCGTATAACAACTCTGTGCTCTTTCATAACGCCCTCCGGTATGCACTTTCCAAAGCTGACACCTCTTCCAGAATGTATCCAGCTGCACCGCATATAGTTATCCTGGGGCAAGAAAAATGCTGAACGGTTCAATCCAGCTCCCACTTCAAGTTTAATTCGCCAATATTCGATCTTCATTCGTTCGTTGCCTATATTGCGGTTCTCTGATCTAAATCAGTCACATCAAAATTCCTCTACAGGAAATTATAATACAATGCGTACATGGACAATAAGATTAATTAAAAAGTATTTCGAAAAACATCAGACAAAAATTATGTAATGTACATTTGTCCTTCCAAAGAGAAATATTTTCAGTTTTCCGTTAAACCTATATTCTTATGGCTCCATCACCCTTTGTTTTTACAGGCAAGAACTGGATTCTTAGAGGTAATATTAGAGCATAAGTATACCTTTTATATTTTTCACCAGTTACAATATTTTATTGTCCTATCCTTATCAAAAGCTTCCTTTTAGGCGTATATATATTCCTGCATCCAATGCCATCTTATTCAGTATCTCTGTCCCCATCCACCGTTCACTGACAGTATTAAATGGACCAACGTCACTACGCCACCCTCCGCACTGACGTCATCACATGTTCTGGGACTGACGTTGTTTCTGTAAAGAAGGCTGACGTGCAGTTAGTTCAGGAACAGGTACAATAAAGGATGTAAACTAAACATTGATTTTCAAAGACTAATTATTATATCAAATACAATGTAGCTATGGTTGATTTTTTCCCCTCTGAACAATTAATATCCATCAGTAATTTTCAGGTTAATCTCTAATTATTGCATTGCACACATTTAACTTTTTAAATTGTATACATTAAACAGTATGTTAGGATAAGCTGGTTTTATTTAATAAGGTCAATTTTATTTTATTATGGTCTACAAATGCATTTCGAATGTAAAAATGGTGACAAATTTAATCAAATTGTGAGCTTGTTAAAACAGCTAAAACAATATATCCAAAAATTAATTATTAAAATAATAATTCCTTTTTTACATAAAAGAATATACTTATATTAATAGAATTATATACGAATAAATATATATATAATAATAAATATATAAATATAATATAATGTATTTTAGTGTTTTTTAAGTATAAGCCTATATCGAAATACACATGAAGGAACACAATTATCTGTGAATGAGGAAATATTACATCTTTAGAATCTGAGTGCTATATTTATGGGTGAGTCAAACTTCCATGCATCTTACAACAACTAATTCAGTGCAGGATTGTGTAGGGGCCTGGATCCTAACCCAGGCAGAATATTATTCAGGGTGGGGGAACACTTTAGATCAATGTTTCCCAGTCAGGTCCTCGGGGGCCCACAGTCTGTCTATGTTTTTGCTTCCTCTGAGCTCCCTGCCAGACAGTCCACATTTTTGCTACCCCCAAGAACATGGACTGTCTGTGGGTCCCTGAGGACTTGATTGGGAGACACTGCTTTAGATGGGCTGCCAATTAATGGCACACACTCACACACACATTGGGCAGCTCCCGCCACAGAATGCCTGTGGACTGTAGGAGAAAAGCCAGACCACGCGGGGAGAATGCTATCCATGGGGCCACCATGCTACCCAAACTCCATGTGGTGTACATTAAAACCTTTACTATGCACTAGTAGGACTGAAGCATAATAATAATAATAATAATAATAATAATAATAATAATAATAAAAATAATAATAATCCAAACAACCAAAGACATGCAGCTAGGCTAACATGTGCCCTGCAACACATAAGATATTCAGGGTGCATCCCTGGCTTGTACTCAGTGCTGCCTGTGATGGTCCCCCCTGACCCTCACTGGGAGAAGTTTGATAGAAGATGGATGAATGGATGGATGGATGAATGATTGATGGATTGATGAATGATGATGGATGATTAATACAACACCAGTTGTATTAATCACTAATTATTAGCTATAAAAACGTACTGCAAGATGAAATTTAAAAAAAATAGTATTTTTCAAACACAGATAAAAAGAGTAAACACCTAAGAACATATGCAAAATAAGTTTCAGTGATATGTGTGGTTATTTCGTTTTTTGTACAAATATAGGCGCTTTACTGAACTATTGAAGCTAGTACTACCTTGCGGCAGCAACAATGTTTACTAAGGGTTTACAAGACTGTAACTGTGAAGGGTCTTTATCTTAAAAAAAATCATATTTAGAGAAAGTATCATCAATCATCAATAATAATATATATAAACATCAATCGATCCACTCAACTTTTTCAACTGACCAATGTCGCGGAAAGAAGTGTAGTTTGGCATAAAAATTAAATGCGCACAAAAACAAACTATACGGTAAAACACTGTGACCCGGAACAGAATTTTTCTGTCAACGATTGCCAGGAAGTATTGAAAATATACTGCTTGTCAATCAACAAACTGGTCGGGGCGTGTTAGCTAAGCTTTCCAGCTTAATATCAATTTTGAAAGAGCTAATAATTCGCAAATGACATAAGGAGTACTTCTTGTCAGAGATTAAAGCTTTGAAGAGCGTTTTTGGCTGGAATCTTTGTAAGTCACTTGTTGGTGTTGGCGTAATTTTAAGTAAAATTTCAAGTTTGGGGGTTAGTACTCAGTTTCCTAAGACCTTCCTGGTGATGTCCTTTTTAGACGTTTTGAAAGTTTATTACTTTAATATCTTATCTGTCCATATCGGTTAAGTGTGAGCATTTAAAGTTTTGTCTGTGGACAAGCTCTTGGCATTTAGCATCTTAGCTGTTTCCGCTTCGCAACCTAGTATCCTCGTTGCATCAGATGATAAACAGTGTTATACATTTTTATTTCCCAGGTTAATTCTGCATATTATTTTTACCCTTATTTTACAATGTGATGCGTGTCGGGTTATATTGTATTGAGAGAAATGATTTCTAACGTTTGAGGAGTGATTGAGATACAATGTAAGTAAGGTACTTTTCTTATTACGCAGGTAGCAGAATAAATGTTTAGTATCAGAAGGGGAGTATGTTCCCCCACTCTTCTATTTTGGGGTGCCCGCCCTTCCCACCTAAACCTGGGCAAGCCAATGGACTTCTCTCCCTACCTGTTGTGTTCGCTCAACAACAAATGACAGCTTCTCCTTTTAATAACAGAAATAAGTAAGTACAGGATCAATCACTATGCCAAACATGTTTGTAAGACCACGTGACTCAATATTTCTGCGTTTCATTCCAAATATTTTGCCCTAGAATTAAGTGATTATGTAAAAGTCCTAAGTAAAATTTCACACACTGTTGTTTCATTGGATCCTGACAGTGTTCTGTTTAATAGGTCTTTATTTCGTTCTTCTGTCTCAATATTTTGTCTTTGAACAGCCTTTCACCTTTTCCTTTGAACCGTCATTATGACTGGAAGCCGGCTCTCCATACAGCTTCTCATGCTCTCAGTGTGCCCCCAGTGAGAATGAGCAGGAAGTAAGAGATGGTCCATATTCATCTGTTGTATTTTAGTGTGCTTCCACCACAGATTTTTTTCTTCTTTGGTCATTAAACAATTTTGAATCAATCTTTGCATGATTAAATTTCATTATTGACACATACTACAATGCACTTCGTTAAAGAAACATCAAACTGAAAGTCAGAAATTAAAGAGGAGGCATTTGTGTCGGCGTCTTCTAGGAGGAGGAGTGGTGATTACGGATTGTATGACTTGAAGCGACAGCGCTTCAGTTCTCCAGGGTGCCATGAAAGGACATCCAGGGTGGCCACCCCTTCGCCAACACCTCGTTCCATTGGGGCTCATTTGCGCAGTGAGAGTTGCGGGCCTTCTGTCAGCCCACTTAGATCACAGCAGGCCGGCTATGTACCTGCTCCCACGGGGAAACCCTGCCACAGTACTCCTGACTCTTTTCAGGCTGCTGCCACCGATAAGGTAATGTCTCCTTCAGTTTCCCCATGTAGGGGGCATCCCCAGTCCTGCCCTGTGTTACTGTGTTTTCCGTCTACACTACAGGACTACACTGCAAGCCATACCTTCTAGGCATGCAGTGACCCAGATCTGATGCATGTGTGAGGAATCTATTTTACTCCCAACCAATGATAATGCAGACTTACAAAGTCCTGAAACTGGAAGGTGCAGTAGTGCCCCAGCTCACAGTATTAGATGGTGATTCTTAAATATAACTGGAAAAGTTACTACATTAAAATATTTAATTGTTGTTGTTATGACAAATTACCTGACAGTGTTGTCCAAAGCTGATTTTAATAGCAAGCAGCTGCACTCAAGATTCCTGCTCATGTTCCACATCCTGGTTAAATAGAAGTTAACTGTGCAAATAAAACTTGTCCTGTTTTCTTTGACAGTGTTTAATTTCAGTCACTGGTGTGAATGTGCACAAATGCAATGTCCTGTTGTGCCATCAGCTTAGTCAGCAGATTATGGATCTATTTCAAGCCTGCCAGCAGCAGACTGATGACCTGGAAAAGAAGGAACTCTGCAGGACTCAGCTCCAAAGGGAAATCCAGAGGCTTTTTCCATGTACGCCTGAAAACAGACACTCCTATGTTGTTATCTGGAGCCCTTTCGAGGTCACTGTGCCCACACTGTGTCTCCCTTTCAGATTCCAGGCTGTTCTTGGCTGGTTCTTCCCTCAACGGCTTTGGTAGCCGAAGCAGTGATGCAGATCTGTGCCTCGTTGTCAAAGAAGGAAACGTGAGTTTATAATTTCGAGGCAAAGATGTTCTTTAGGTCACACATCTTACATCATGATAATGACTGAACAAACAATGTGTATTAGCACCTTCAGAAAATGTAAGCCAAGCTGAAAGTGCTGTCTTGCTGGTATTTTTTTTATTTTAGGTGAACCAGAGAACAGATGCAGTTTACATCCTCAGTCTGGTTCAGAAATTGCTTTACAAGCTGTGTAAGTACTGAGCTACTGTCTGCTTTACTGGAGGTCAGGAGCATTGCAATAGTGCAGAATGTGTCTTCTGTGGTATAATGCTTCTATATGAGAAATATGCTTTGGACATAACTTTAAGTTTTCTGTAGTTCTGCACAAATACAGGATTATTGTTTGACCAGAACGGTGTTTAATGTATGGTAAACCAGCAACATGAACTATCCACGAAAAAAATTTAAAAGTAAGAAAATCACTTGTTTATGCTGACATCATTGTCATGAAGATGTTGTGAGGTGTGTGGATGCTCGTATACCTGTGAAAGGCTTAATTGAAAGCCTATAATATAACATTTGCTTAGGAGCTGCTTCTCACTCACATACCCGTGCTAACCATTGAGTGTACACATATATTCCAGTCTCTTAACTCCAGTCTGGCTTATGGGGTCTGTGCATTTTCATTAGATGCTCATGGTGATTCTGTTTATTCCCACCATTTGACTGGATATATTTTAATCCAATTTAAAATATTGAAACCTCTAAGTATTTTACATTGGTAGTTCACTATTTTATTTGAATATTTTTGGATTATCCTCTGCCGCGATTGACATTTATTGAAAATATATTTCTTGGGTATATTTTTCAAGTTAGATTTCTTTCCCCTTTTCTCTCAGCATATATTGACAGACCACAGCTTATTCGCGCAAAAGTGCCCATATTGAAATTCAGGGATAAATTCAGGTAGGCAATTCTTTCACTAAAAGTGGCATGACTATAGCTTATAGATATTTCCAAAAATAGTATATAAATACATGAGAAATGGAATGTTATTTCTGTGGAAAAAAATAATTGCTTTTTCTTAAAGAATTTTGGTGTATCACATTTGGTTTTTGTATCCAAAGGATGTTTGCAGAAAGCGCAGTTCAGAGTCATTGGTTGAAGTTGGCTGCATTTCATTTTTGACTGCCACATTAAAATGAATTATGAGAAAGGTTCAGTGAATATGAATTTGAAGTTTAATGAAAGGCAAGTTACAAGCAGACAGACTTATAGCATTGTAATAAATGTGACGTTTTTTGATTTCCATCTCAGTAGTGCTGTTAAACTATATTTAATTTGCTGTGAGATTCCCACGTTTGGGATTTTTAAAGATATAAAACAGGCTCAGTAAATGTCGCAGAAACATGGGAGAGGACATTTTTATCTTCATCGTAGGTGGCTGTTACGAGGTCACCAAAATGTAAGATTAGATCTATTGTATCCTGTTCTTTGCATTATATGCTAAAGTATTTTGCTTTTTGGGGTGTTTTTAATTGATTGAACATTATGCAAATACCAGCCCCCTGAGATACAATTAGGACCAGATTCATGGAAGGTTAACTTTGCAAAATAGTCTTTTTTTCTGAAGTTCATTTTGTTTCAAACAGGCTTGTCAATGATTGAAATTAGGGCATTCCCCTGCCTCTTGGTAATTCTGGATAAGTGATAATGTAAAATTGATGCATTGATAGGCTTATTTTTTGTAAGCTTTTTTCTCATTTTTGTGGAGTGATGTGTCGGAATAGTTGGTCCATATTATAGTGGTCTATGTTATTAACTTCTTAGCAAAAATAAGTCACTGTCGTGATTGTGATGCTTAACACAAAAGACTGATCTGCCCTATCAGGTCCTGTAATTTTGGGCCACAGAGGGCAGCTCTGTGCATACAAATCTCTCCATGGCACTTGAACAACAATATAAGCTTTTGATCCTCTTTAGCTTTATAACACCAGGAGTCTTTTGTATGATTCTGACGCTGTGAAGGACATTGAATTTGCGGGTTTTTTTTTAAACCTACAATCATCTCTGCATTCCGGATATTAATAATACCTATATCTTTGTTCCACAGTGGTCTGGAGTTTGACTTGAATGTTAACAACATTGTTGGAATACGAAACACATTCCTTCTAAGAAGCTATGCATACAGTAAGTGCAATATAGCCAAACTAAGAGCTGATGAGTGCTTTTTTCTCTCTATTTAACAAAAGCACATTGATGAATTGTTTCTGATTAGCCCTATATCCACTGAGCATAACCTTGTCATAAGTGTGGTGTACAGTAAGTGAGGTTAGTGAAGAAGAGAAAGCCAGGTCCTGTGTTTTGCCTACTTCCATTTTCACAGTTTTCTTTACTTAAATTAATTAAATTATGCTTATACTAACTTATCTGGACATTTATGATGAGTGTTTTAAATAAAGGACAAAGAGATGTTCCGTAAAGTGTTCAAGGTACCCATGGCTATGACATATTTCAATACAAAGAGAAGGATCCCTTGCAGTACTGTTAAGAACTTGATGATTTCACCCTCAGCTGAATGTCGCGTTCGTCCTGTCGTGCTCGTCATAAAGAAGTGGGCCCAGCACCATGGAATCAATGACGCGAGTCGTGGGACTCTTAGCAGCTACACTTTGGTACTGATGGTTCTGCATTACCTCCAGAGTGAGTAATATGTCTCTAAGTTCTGCCTCTTTGTGCTTGGTTTGCCACTTGCACTGTGTTGGCATTTATCTCTAAAATGGGTGTTTAGCTCTTTTTTTGTTTAATTTTCAGCCCTGTCTGAACCTGTCATACCTTGCCTTCAGAAAGATTATCCCGTAAGTCACATTCTGTAGTTGATGCTATTTGTTGCCATGGATCCTGTTGTGCCTTACTCAGCTGGGGCTTGTGGAAGTTTTATTTACAGAAAAAGAACAAGAAATGATTGGCTGAGAGGGATAACCAATCAGATTTTAGAGGAGGTGGGTCCAAGCAACTAGAGGAGGATCAAGACATCTGATTGGTTGGTCCCACCTCCTCTTGTTGGGTTAATTTTAGTGGATTGATACATTGGTTGTAACTTCTGAAGTTTTAACTGTTTTTCAGAACTTTTCCTCTCAGAGGAGTTGAAATACTGTGTGAATAAATGATACTGTACGAATGTAGGAATAGAAATGTCACAAATTTTTATGTCAACTATATTTTGAACAGCCAGTTACTGTAATTTGACCTCTGACTCCAAATGATCCTGTGATTTGTAGTCGTTCCATATATCTGTCCCTATACTTATGTAGCTGTTTGATCAGGAAGAGTTAAATATGTAGTGTGTTGTACATAGTCTCAGTATCTACTATATAGACTTAGTATCTACTATTGATCTTGCAACTGCAGTGTAATGGTCATGTGAATATGCTTTTTGCAGACAGTATGAAGACACCAAATGATCACCTTTAATGCCTTTTTATTGTATTAGTTTAGAGAGTCATTTTAAAGGATTGTGCATCCTTTTAGAATCCCTTTTGACTTGGTACAGTGGGCCAGTATGTACTGTACATGCATTAATGTGTCTGACACAGTTCACCTCTAATTGTGACATCTGATGAAAAACTACTCTGGCTAGGAATGTTTCAACCCTTCCATGGAGATCCACCTTGTGCCAGAAGGTCCGAAAGACATTCCTCCTTTCAAATCCAAGAACCAGTCTGCCTTGGGGACTTTATTCCTTGGCTTCCTGAAGTATTTTGCCACTGAGTTCAAGTAAGAGAGCCCTCTTTCAAAGTCCTTTATCAGAGGTCAGCCGTGACTTGTGAGGTGCCATTCTTTGTTCTGTCAAATACTGATGAATCCTAGGTGTTGTACATCTGTTAAGTCTGAGACAGCATGAAACATTATTATACCAGAAAAACACTGAAATGACTGATAATTCTTACTACTCCTGATACTTTGGCGCAGTAATATTTTTTCATGTATCTCATTTAATAAAGAAGAACTCCAGGCTGTAGAGCAAAATTAACAGGCTCGAATAAAAGGATGGTGAGTTGCCAAAATTCATTAAATATGATATGACCTTGGTGTGTATTATTACCCCATTCTGATAGGGGGAGGGGGAACTTGCCCTTCACAAAATCACTATGTTCCTGGCTAGTCTGCTCTGCCTCATAAATCAGCTGGAGACTCGATTGCACCATGAGATGGGTTAAGCTGTGTTTGACAGCCAGCCAACTCACTATGTCCTAATAATATGTGATAACGCCTTGGCCAAAAACACCCATTCATGGCTAATGATGGACTTTGGTAAATTACTGAGAGTAGCAGGTAGTCCGTACTGATTTAAAAGGGAATGGCTTCTGTATTTGTCATCTGCTTTATTTTTCTATTAAACGTAACGAGGGATTACCTTTACATTTTGTCTTACGTATTTGTCTTATGTAATTTAGGTGGCACTGTGGTTCATTGCATGGCAGTGTCCAAGTTTGATTCCCAACCCCGGCCTGTGGTTGTATGACTTTCCTTTCGGAACCTTGGTTTTTTCTGCAGTCCAAAGACATCGAGTTATGTCAGTTGCTATTTCTGTTTCAATTGCCCAAGGTATGTGCATGTATGTGTGCCATGAAAGACTGGCAGCTCACCTAGGGTGTCCCCAGCCTCGTACCCTCGACTCCTTGTTCTAGATAAGCGGGGATATATGGATGAATAGTTGGATTTTTGATGCAAGTGTATAATATCTGCAGTTAATTGTGTAAAGTTGCTGTATGGTGTAACTCACTAACATGATTTTTAACATGGTGTTAAACATATGGTTGACGTTGATTCTCAGATCTCTACATGGGGACCTTCATTCAGTTTAACACAAGTCATTAACTTCGCATTAGTCCCTGTATTTGTACTGGAGAAAATCAAATTTATGAGATGGTTGTGTATTCTTAAAGAGGAGACTAATCATACTGACTTTAGGGAAAGAGGCTGTTCATCAAATGCTAATCCACTTAGAAAGTAGTAATTAAATCAAATTGAATAAAGACGCTCCTCTGCTTATGAACTTTCAACTTGCGAACTTTCAGACATACGAACGAAGAGGATTGTTAGTCCAAATTGTGTTCATTGGGCTCCCGTTTCCTGTCTGCAACATAATTTTTTTTTTCTGCGCGCCAATTCCGCCTAGTACGACTTCTGGCCGCTACTCCCACCGCGCAGTAGCGTAGCGTGCGTACTCGCAGCATCCTAGTTCTTTGTACTTGCGTATACCCTTAAAATGATGTTGAATAACGACTTACGAACATTTCAAGTTATGAATGGCCGTTCGGAACGTATCTCATTCATAAGTAGTGGAGCGTCGGTATCTTGATTTTTAACAGATATTTGAAACCGATATGTCAACCGATATATTGTGCATCTCTAAAGTAGGTCTGGGTGACATATTTATAAAGTATTGTATTTTGATTATGAACATTCATATCGTCAATTTGAATTTTGTGAGTTTCGGGGTAAAGCCGAAACACTTGTTTTCTTTCATAATTAATGGTTATAATGCACTTTTTATTTAAATTGTTCTCTTGTGTTTAGATAGGAGGTATGTTTAACTTGATTTGGTCGAAAAAAGTCCAGAAGTGGTTTTACAGACCTATTTACAACCCTATAATTTGGCCCTAAAATGAAATAGGAGGTTTTCCCTTATTTGGTGGGTTCATTAATATGTTCATGAGCTCTGCTCTGATTAGCTGGAAGTGTGGCACTGTGATCGCTGACACAGAACCAATTTGCTGCATGTAACTGTAATAGTCACTCTACAGCCTAGGCACAATGTAATCATAACTTTTTCAGCACTGTAACAAGTACATTGCAATAATTTTTCATCTCGTGCAAAAAATGATTTTCTGATGCTAGACTTATCCGAGTTTTATAAAGAACTCGAAAGTGCAAGCTGAGTAGCTTGTAAATGTATTATTTGTAATGAATTTGGAGTTCTGCTTTAAGTCTTTTTTTTTATTTATTGCAGTCGACAAGATATTTGTTTCGTTAAACCAAAGTAGGCTACTGGAAGTACAGAATCTTCTTGTCATTGTCAGTATCATGGACTTTGTAGTGTTGTTTACTACTCCCCTGCTAAGCTGGGGTACGTTGTTCCAAAAGCATAGTTGCTAGCAATGCAATTAGCAACTTGCCTAGTTCGAACTATGCAACTGAATAGTTTCGTATGTGTAAGTTGCTAACGGGAGCTTTTGGGAAACGTACCCCTGACTTGCCTCTTAAAGATGAACATCAACTATGCCTGTTGATAGTTTGGTTCCCTAGGAAAGGTATAAAAAGTGCCGACATTCCCATCACAGCCTCAAATGGCACACTTATGGATACAGCCTGCCATTTTCATGGCTGTTCTCTGCTTCATTTTTCTCAGTGCCTGCAGAACTATTGAAGTCTGAATGCGCATGTACATTGAGCTTATTTGTGGGCTGGCATATATTAAGGTTGGGGGCATGGTTAAGATTAAGTAATTCTAGGATTTTGAAACGGCTCATTTCACTTCCTTATTTTACATATTCAGGAATTGTATTTCAAACAGGGAACAACAGTGTTTGAGATTCACGGTATGTCATTTCCATGTACCTCCATGGCCCATCAAGCTCGTTTGGGGAGAACTTAACTAATAGCTCAAAGTTGTTCAAATCTTATCTATCTCTGATTTAAAGGAGCCCAGGGGTTTAGCTTGCACTGCACTAGCAGGAAGACTATTCCATACTCCAACTACACGCTGTGTAAAGAAGCGTTTTCTCAAATTCAGTTTAAAATGTTCTCCCGCTAATTTCCACTTATGGCCACGGGTTAATTAATATTAAAGCAGCTATTTGGCTGAACAACATCGAGACCTGTTAGAATCTTATATACCTGGATCATGTCCCCCCTTAGTCTCCTTTGCTTGAGCCTGAACAGATTCAGCTCAGCTACCCTCTCATCATAAGACATTCCTCTAAGACCAGGAATCATTCTTGTCGCCCTACGTTGAACCTTTTCCAAGGCAGCAATGTCCTTTGTAAGGTATGGTGACCAAACCTGCACACAGTATTCTAGGTGGGGTCTTACCAAGGAGTTGTATAATCTTTACACCCTGCGTGTGCACGCATGTGTGCATGCATGCATGTGTGTGTGTGTATGCAAACGCTTATAGTGTATGTTGTGTTAATTACTGTAAATGGATGAAGCATTTTGCAAAGGCAGTTCCAAAACTTGCAAGCATAATGATTTCACTTTAACTGTGTGTACATGTACTTTACTGGATTAAGGTAAATAGCTGACCATTTAGGTAAATGCTAATTTACTATCTTACTAATAAGCAATGATTTATAGCATAAATTAATCCCACTGAAAACTCAAACTTCATGCATAATGGGGGTTATCAGGCATTTGTGGTATAACCCAAGTTCAGTACGTATGAAAATTTATTATGACCTTAGAAAATGTTATTGGGGGGGGATGTGCTTTGTGTTCTCATTTTCTGCTTGATGCATATGTAACTGTCAGTGTGAGCTTGAAAATAAATGGGATAATCTCCAGAAACAGCTATAATTTATTCAGCTGTCATAATCCAGATGTGCCTTTAGCCCTTAATTTTAATGAATACTGTTCTATGCATCCGTTTAAATTAAATAATTTAAAATCTTTTATGAAAGTGTAGAAAACGCTCATTTAATGGAACATTATGTAACACATGTTATTCGTAAATGCATGTTATTTGTAAATATGACTGACACTTGTCATATAGCAAGGGCAGTTTTCATAACTTCCATCTTGTACAGGAAATCGGTGAGTTAAGGATGAGTAAACTATTTCCTAATTGCATTCTGAAATATGCTCATATGTTTATCTGTGCTTCTGCGTATTGCCTTTGTAGACTAAAAATGAGAGCGTTAGCTTGGAAGTGATGTCACCAATTTAGCGATGAGCATTCCTTATGTGAAGCTGACACGCATGGGTATCTGCATGTCAGAGCACCAGTCACCTTTTGGTCTCTACTGTTCTGGGGTGGCCTTTCTGAAAAGCTTTGTAACGCTAAGCAGTTATCTAGTGCTTCAGATCGATCATTAATTGACACGCGTTTCCCATTGCCACATTTGAATTGTCACCTATAGAATAAATAATTTAACTGTGATTTTGTGTACCATGGTGAAATAGCACTTCAAACAGTCATAGAAGTAACTATATCACAGCCCTATCCATCTGACAACTGACAGACACTGACAGGAAAAGCAACTGCATGGAGACTCCTCCCAAATGTTAACATAAACCGTTAAATATGCAAAATCAATATATGTATGCATATGGAGAAGCACTTAGATGGCTCATGTATACCAAGTACATATTGTTAGAATAGGCAAAAACAATTACACAATATTAATCATTCAATTCAATTCAAAGTTTGCTCACTAGTACATACAGTATATAAGGTCAATATATACATCTATCATCTTAGAATTAAATCTGATATGTAATTTATGTTTTGCTAGACTAAATGACATTCATGTGTTGTATGATTGCATTGAATTGAAATGAATTTAATACTTCTGTCATTCTAGTTCAGTCTTACAGGATGTGGCCAAGTCAATTCAAAATCAATTTCATAGATTCTGAACAACCCTGGTTATTTACATAATGAGCTAACCAATCAAACTTGCTATGTGTTCAGTCACATCTTTTGAAATGGGAAGGTGAATCACCCCTCACGACCAGCAATGGCAGAGAATTGTGCTGTCAACAGAAGACAGTGTTTGAGACAGGGGCATCCAGGAAGCCAAGAAGCTTTTGCTGGTGATCATGAATCCCTTGGACCATTTCAGTAATGAACAGTTCATAGTGAAATACAAGCTGGCCTGGGGTGAAATAATGAGCCTCCTTGGTCTGGTGCTGGATAAATTGAAAAGAGGAACACACCAGAATTGGCCTCAGTGCGGCGTGCAGTTTCTGAGGTCCTGCAGACCTACAGATGCACATGTCCTCAACAAGGCTGCTGTGTCCTGCATTTGTTCATGCAGTGATCAGATTTCTGTTGCCTCGTGCGCACAAATACATACAATGTCCAGCAGAAGGGGATATCTTGCATAACACTAAAAGTGGTTTTCATGCAGTTGTGAGCATACCTGGCATTGTGTAGGTACAGTGGATGGAACCCTCAACCCTATTCGTATTTGCAGCCCCTTGAATCCCACCTGCCCATGTCGAAAAGGGTTATTGGCACTAGGCCAGCAGTCAAGGCCATTTTACAGACATTGTCACCAAGTGGCCTGGGAGTACATATGGTGCTTTTGTCTGGTCCAGATTTGGAGTTAGTCAGATGGCAAAGGATGGTATGTTTGCTGGTGGCTGGTTATTGAGAGACAGCAGGTTATCTGCATATCGAATATCTGCTGATTCCAGTGTTGAATCCCCAAACCGTGGCTGAGGAGAAGTATAACACCGCACACCAAAGAGCACGGACTGCTGAAGAGCGTGCTTTAAGCACGCGGAAGATTCTGGTGCCTACACAAGTCCTTGGGAGCTCTGAGATTTCCCCCTGAATGCTGCTGTGCTGATCTTCATATGGGTACTATGCTGCACAACGTTACAGTGATTATTTTATTAAAATATATTTTCGACCATCACCTCAATAAGTTGTTTTAAGGCGTCTTTAAGAATTGATATTTTCCATTTGCTATTGCTACTTTTTTTTTTTTTTTTACAATTTTGAACTCAATTTTTTTTTCCCAGCAAATAGGTAAATTTATTTTGGTCTTAATTTTGGTTGCTTTGGTGTCTATTGATTTTCTACTTAGTTTTATTTTTATTTATTTTTTTTTTACATCTGCATATGTCTAGGGTGAAAATCGTATAACATATTTCACCATTGAAATACGTGGGAGTGGTTTTCGTGTTATTGGCAGTCTGGGGTTTTCTCACGCAGAGTCTGGGGAGGAGCTAACAAAGTACTACTTAGCCTTTGTTCATTAATTCTGGAATAACGAAGGTTTTTGGGAAACGCTCGTAGACCTCACTCGTTCTTTACCTATCTCGTTCATTATTCACTAAGATCGATTGCTTTCTGGAAAGTCACCCCATATCAGTTTCCTTAATGTGCTTAATACTGCACTTTGGAACTAATGAATTGCATATTTGCATTTCCATGTGGCATTTGTCGTGATACATATGTTGTGACTGACTACCATATATACATACTCATCTACACCTGCATAATGACTCCTATGCATGCATGTCCTGCTGTGATTCCTCTCTGCATCATACAGTATATCTATCCAGAAACCCCCCGCTGCTCTCGGATTCCCCGTGATCTCGTTTAGTGTCTGTGAACCAGGTGCAAAAACGCAGCATTTTAAATTGCCCTATAATGGTGTGAATTATTACCCAGTCTGTCATGTTTAATCCCTGTTTATCTCCAAGTTGAGCTCCAAAATAGCCAATAACCTTAAGTGTAGCTTGCCATGCACCTGAGTCTGAAGGGGAATGGCTTGTGGAGTTGAAGCCTCACTTGAGCTCCCCAGCTCCTGTTTCACATTACTGAGGTAATGGATAGAAGCAGGTGACGCTCTAATGCTGGTCCCTTGATACTTCCAGTAGCTTTTTGATGAATTGCTTATTTGTACATGGAGGCTCTGGTTATAAATTAACCCTGAATCCAGTTATATCCATTTGGTTTTGTTTGTTTTATTCCATCCTTAGGGTTCACACTTTTTCCTATTGGTAGTAGGGACCTGTAAATGTAAAAATAAGTGGATTTGTCATTATGGATGATGATTTGAAACCTGTGGTTATGTTTTCTAGCAACAGTGAGGGAATTGCTTTAATTTAGATAAAATGGTAATACTTGACTTGGAGTTGTCATCTATAATGCACTATAGATACCTTCATAATTTTTAATGGTGGGTATAAGAATTAATAAAGCATTACAGCATCTTCTATTGACAGTCATAAGGCGTTTTAGAGTTAATTTAATACTTCAAAAGCTCCAATGAAGCTCTTATCTATAATGTAGTATAGATACCTTCGTAATGCAATATAATGGTCAGTATAAGAATTAAGAATATCTTATACTGCATTATGCAGGCATCTATGGTGCGTTATAGATGACAGCTTCATGAAGCATTCATAATGCATTATAAACATTGTTATAATATATTACAAAAATATTCATAGATTCTTAGAGACACGGCATAGAAAGTGTTACCGTTACTTATCTGTATCTGTTACCGAACAAACTTAGCAGAATTAAGCACTTTGCATAATATTTAGTTATAACAAGCTTATGTCATCATGGTAGCCCTCTCTGTGCCTGCAGGTGGGACCGACAGATGATCTCAGTCCGCGAGGCTGAAGCCCTCCCAAAGCCCAGCTGCAGAGAGTGGAAGGACAAGTTCATTTGTGTTGAAGGTACTATTTCAGTCTCCACTGAAAAATAATAAGCACAGCAGAACTTCCTTTTCAAGTAACCTTGCTTAAGGAGATTTTTCTGTCTATGTATATGTACAGACATGATGACACAGCGTTTTTAAGTCATCTCATTCGTTTCAGAGCCCTTTGACAGATCCAACACAGCACGAGCGGTTCACGAGAGGGCTCAGTTTGACGCCATTAAAGCAGTGTTCCTTAAGGTATTCTCCCTTCTCATACCAGACAACACAGGCTTCTCTGCTTCATCACCCGTTCATCTTGATATTAACCAAAACTACTATTGTGTTTTTTTTTTTGCATGCATAAAAAGAAACATATGAAATATACATTACTGTGCAAAAGTCTTAGGCAGAAAATTTTGTGTCTTTAAAATTATGATTTCATTGGTGTGTCACTTCAAAACCTCTCCTCAATTCACCCCACTATTTGCAGTAATCATCCGGTGTGTCACAACTAGCATATTTTACTTGAATAATCAATGTCTCTTGAAGTTAATTCACTAGTTAATTCAATGGTGGTGAAGTGTAACAAATACATGGAATGATTGGGAAGCCCCAGAGTTGTTTTAGCCATACAGCAAAATCATGTCTCTCTGACTGTCTGTCTGTCTCTGACTGTATGTCTCTCTGTCTGTCTGTGTCTGTTTGTCTGTCTCTATCTCTCTGTCTCACTGTCTCTCTCTCCGTCTCTATGTCCCTATCTCTGTCTCTCTCTCTCTCACATCCACTGTCATTAGTATATCTCTGTCTGTCTCTCATTCTGTCTATCTCTATCTCAGTCTGTCGATCTCTCTGTCTACATATCTCTATCACTCTACTTCTATCTCTCTCTCTCTTGCACACACTGTCAATATTATCTTTCTCTGTCTTGATATCTGTCTCTTTCTTTGTCTCTCTCTATCTCTATCTCACACTGTAAATATTATACTCCACTCAGCCACAGCATTTACACCACTGACAGGTGAAGTGAATAACATTGATCTTGTTGCAATGGCACCTGACAAGGGTGCCATAATATATTATGGTGCTTTTCCACTGGCACACAGGAAGCAAGCCATATGCGACTTGTACCATGAAGAGAGATTCGTTTTGGTTTTCCACTGCTGAAGGGTCGGCTTTGTAAAGACGTGTCAGGTTTGGAGAGCAACAGTGACATGAAACTGAAAAGATGCATATTTACTGTTCACACAGTGTATATCATGATTTACCGTGTTAGCATCAAATTCTAGCAGAAATAGAATTTATTTGTGTAAATTTACATTATCCATATCCAAATTCATTCCATTCAGCTATTCTATAGTGCTTCCTTAAGTAGGAGGTTGGAAATTTAACTAGTTATTGGCAATGTGTCAATATACATTGCTATTTGCAATACGACTATAATAATATATAATATATATATATAGAATATGCCTGTTTTCCTTCAGATAATCCATGCGTACTGATGCAGATCACTGGTATCTCTGTGCATTTCGACCAACCACATGGTGGTGATGCAACTAGCTTGGTTTAAACACCCCTTCGGCTCTGCTGTTAAGTATTCTCATGTCAGTGCAGGTATGGCTTAGGTACGGCTCAGATTTTTTTTCAGCACAAATTGCTGAACAAGTTAATGCTGGCTATTATATTAAGGTTTCACAACACAGTGTGCTGGACAAATAAGTCTGATTTACGGAGGGCTCAGTTTGCAGCTTACAGGATTTAAAGGATCTGCTGCTAACGTCTTGGTGCCAGATACCACAGGACACGTTTAGTGGTCTTGTGGAGTCCATACCTCAACCAGCCAGAGCTGGCAAAACTACACAATATAAGGGATGTGGTTTTAATGTTGTGGCTGATCGGTGTCATGTACAAAATACATGACCAAATAAACCCTTACTGCCTAGATAAATAGCTTTAAACATAATTTTCTTTGGCAGCCTCAGACCCGTGCACAGTACTGTAAATCTTAATGCCAGTAATTTTTATGTGCAAGAAGAGGAGTTCCTGCTGTTTACCTGCTGTATGGTTCTGTGAGTGGGTCAAATTTCTGACAGGAGTCGTTGGTGTACAAAAGTGTCTTTTTAAAAAGCATTACTCAAACATTGAAACGAGACGGAAAATGGAATAAAATAAATTCTCTGTTTCTCTAGTCATGGCAGTTGCTGCAACAGAAGAAGGACTTGAATTCCATCTTGCCAGTGAGGGTGACGATGCAAAAGTGTTGACAGTCCTGCCGTTTTTCTCTGGATGCTGAAGGGCCTGCTTGCTAGCAGGACATAGACAAGAATCATCTCTTCAGGGCTTTTCCAGATGTTGTTTTAGGTCCCTGTTGCTGGTTGGTGACGGTACAATTTTTAGCTGAACCTTTTAGCTTGTCTCTTGAAGGCCGTGTCATTGCACTGTTTTTTTTTTTGTTTTTTTTGGGAGTTCAGTCACTTTATCCAGATGTTAAAGAAAACACACACACACAAATAAGAAACCCATCCCTCAGCTAAAATGGCAGAATTATTTGACAACCTGTGCTTAAAATATCAGACCATGGAGTGAATGTTATGCTTTAGATTTTTTTTTTAATTATTATTATAATTGGCTTTGGTGTATATAATATTGTCCTGCTTCAGGCCATGTTTTTCTTATATCTCTGCTTTGTTTATATGGAAAAACCTTCAACAGTCTTAACTTTTTTTTGGGTGTCCACTTTTTGAAGAAACATTGTTTTATGAAATAGAGAAAATGATACATTAAAAATAGATCTTAGGATGGTTCCATAAAAGTTGATATAAAGTAATTGGGTTAAAAAGCAGTATTCTTATTCTATAAACACATTTCTATCATTTTTTGACATAAAACTGCAAAACTGCGTCTTGGGTAATTTTTCCTGCTGAAGGCAACTTTGGAAATCACTATTTAATAAGTCTGCAGCCATGTCAGTGTCGTCTGAAACAGTGTATTAACTGAAGCTTTTTCCAAATTTCTTCCTTTGACGTTAGGATCCAGTTCATGGTTCTAGTGTACTCCATTCAAGGACAGTAAATGGGCCCAAACTCTCCTCTTTGTGGCGAATTGAAAAGCCATTTGGGATGGAATGGTGAATGGAATAATGCGCCTTTGTTAGAATAACTATTATATTCTTGAGGGACTTCAGGTGAAATGAGTCATGTGGGTGAGAGTGCTGTGTGTCTGGTTGACCTTGACTGCCTGTGTTTCGTACACTGGCAGGTCTACCTTTTACTGTATGCAAAGGCTGTAATTATATGCTTGCCCTTTTTGTGTATGTATGTCCTACAAGCTTCCATTAGATGTTAACTTTGTCTAAAAAAAATTAAACTTATGAAAACTGAAGTGCCATTTTTTTCAGTTACTGTGAGTAGAATGGATGACATCAAATAGTATTTGTTATTGTACTTTTTTGCAGGCAGATCATTAATAGAATTAAGGACGTGCATCTGGTTAATGTACAATTTACAGGAATTTTCTTGAATGCGGTGTCATTTTATAAGTTTTTATTAACCTGTCCTATATATTTTGAATGCCTCTTTACTTTCTGTTTAATCTGCAGGAATAAGTCTCAAAATTAACATTTTTATTCTCTTTGATAATAAAAGACTATACTGGAATCAGAATTTTTCAAAATAGGCTAACCTTTTTTGACGTGTTCAATAAAGTGTTTTGGGAAGCAAACCTTTTTTGCAGTTGAAAATTCAAACACTTCATGCTGATAGATATTTACTAACCATCATTGCATAACCATTTAATACCATTTTACATTTTGCTCCAATTTTGCAGCACGGGTTCTAGAAACAGAAGACAGGACCTGTTGATACAGTACATTACTAAGGCTGCATATTACGTGCGCAGATCGACAGCAGGGATACGTGCTGCTTTCTATTTAGAGGGCACGCTGAGTCAGACAAAATTCCCTTACTTGGAATAACGCAAAGTTCACTGCGGATTGGAAAGCGTTCGTAAAATTATTCAAATAATTAAAAACGCAGCTGTAATGGATACCCGGTTAGAAGAAGCGGGACAAATTCAATCTGAGCCGCCACTGACTGTTTTAGCGGATGAATCGATCGGAATGGAAGTAACTGATAAAGACGACGAAGTTGAGGAGATTGCCAACAGGTACCATGCTTAGCGCAACCAATCGCGTCATGTAAATGACAAGAGATATAGTGAATTTCCGTGCGTCAGGGACGTATTCGCACATTGAAAGCGTGTAGGAAGGCTTGATCGAGCACCCTTGAGAGGATTCAGCTAAAATTAATTTTGAGTAATTCATACACGTTTTTGATCTGGTGATCGCCTGCATGTATAAAGTAATGCATACGGCTGACTGTTCAGATAACCTGTAAATAAATATGTGTCAAAACAATTTAAAAACGTAATACTCCAAGAATGACACACATTTAAAATTATCGTGTTATTTCGTCTAGGTCAATGTTACTAGATCTAATATTCTAATTAAATATTGGCTAATGTCAGCTTAAAATATAGAGCTTGAATATGTATATACTTTAAGACTCACAGTGAAAATAAATTTTAAACCATTAATTGATTTTGTTTACCTGGTACAAATATTTGTTTTTAATATTCAGAACTACTGCTTTTTCCCTGTTCTGTCCTCATTGTTCCTTTTTCAGTTTGAAAGAAATTGTCCATGACCAAGATCTAAAGCCCAAACTTCAGTGTATCATGGTGGATCCCTCTTTCTCTATGGTGACAGTCCAAAGTGAAGACAGCGCAATTGTGTGGGAGGCCATCTCCACTGGTGACAGATGCACATCGCCAGTAGCCAGCACCACCTCAGAAGGTTATTGCATGGAGAGTTGTGGGGCACCAGGTCAAGTCATTTTTGTCATGGATGAGGACAAGATGAGGAGAAAAATGTCAAGCAGCAAAAGCAAGCCTAGTGAAAAATCAAGCAGACCTGTAACCGCACCTAGTGAAAATGTCGCACCAGAAAGACCAGCGATGATAGAGTTTTCTATGCCCAACATAAAGCCTGAAAATACAGATGAATATTACAGGTTAACAGACCCAAACAAGGACAGAGATCAGGCATTGTTTAGTATTATTTCTGATGGCTCTGAGATTCTAAACATTTTGGTTCCATCAAAACTTTCAACAGTGGATGAAGAAGAAAGTCTTGTGATGGCTGATAATCTGTTTTATTTAGAGGACAGTCCCAAGATCAAAGCAAAGCAGATGATTGAAGAAACTCTGGAACCATATTTTGAGTTCTCGGGTGAATCTAACTTACAGAACCATGAGGATAACACAAAACATGACGAAAAAAAACATTTGCAAGATCCAACAGTGGATTACCTGCATTCTCCAGGTTCTCATGGTAAACAAATGATAAAGGCTACAACCAGTGGCGTTGATTATTTTGAGAAATTTACCCTGATGGATGAGTGTAATCCAGGCGAATTCCTGTCTGGCACAGAGGAGTACATTTGTTCAAAACCGAGTGAACAAGAAGAAATACCTGAATGTGCTCCAGAAGGGCGATTAGCCCACTTTGCAGCTTCCAGTGACATTGCAATTGCAAGTGAGTATATAGATGACATATTTTATGGAAGTACTTCACTAGATGAAAGCTATGTGATGAATATGCAAGAAGAAGAAAATGAAGCAGAAGCGCATGAGCAGCCAAAATCCCCACTTAAGGAAAGTGGTTCTGATTTGTTTGGTAGTGAGGAGACGTCCCTCTCTCCAATTTTTCTATCACCTGGGCCACCAAAAATCATCGACCCCATTCTTCTCGAGGAGCCAGCAGCAATGTCGTTCTTTTACTCTGATCTTTATGCAGAAGCAGTGGGAAATAGGAAGAATGAAGATTCAGAGTGTTCAGAGGTGGAGAGCGTTTCCTCTGATTCCTTGCAGAGAAGGTTATCAGATGCAAGTGATATTTGTGGATATTTTGAGAAATTTATTTTAATAGATGAAACCCCTGTGGTCGAAGGTGAACGTGTGACAGATATTTACAGAGGGGATGGATTTGACATTGGTGCTCTGATAAGTGTACAAGCAACTGAAAAGGTAAGTTAACTTATGGGGTTATAAAACATGGCTATTTTATTCCCAAACAAACAAATTAATGATTTACATTCTAACTGCATATTCATGAATAAATCTTTGCCAATTATTAATAGAAAAGACCACAAATACTGTATAATGTTGTCTTAACATTAAAACTACCCATAGGAGCATGGGGAAATGACCAAAACAATCTAAATTTACCATTACATAGGAGAAGAATCATATTCCAAGAATATATTACAGTTATGAGGGAAAAAGTTTGTGAACCCTTTGGAAATGTACTTTATCTGGGTGCATAAATGACCTCTAAAATATCATCTCAGTCTTAATAATAAATAAAACAATTGATCTGTGTATTCTTTGTTAAGTAAGGCTGTCTTTATTTTGAGATGAAAATTAGATCACTTTCAATGGGCCATTCATGCAGAATTTCAGATAATTCCAAAGGATGCAATTGTAGTTGAAGTACAAACTTTAATAGTATTTTTCTGGGGAATAACCATCACATGTGACATTACGAAATCTTTCACTAACAAAAAAGGGCAAGAACAAAGGCTGGAATCCATGAAGACTCAAAGTGTGACATTCCCACAATGAGGAACACTGTGGAGTGTAAAATAAAATTACTTCTTTAAGAAACTGAATTAACCAAGCTGTGATTTAAACAGGGGTGGCATGGTGGTGCAGTGGTTAGCACTGTTGCCTCACACCTCTGGGACCTGGGTTCAAGTCTCCACCTGGGTCACATGTGTGTGGAGTTTGCATGTTCTCCCCATGTTGTTGTGGGGTGTCCTCCAGGTACTCCAGTACTCCAATAAAACAAAAATCACATTGTTTAGAAAACTCCACAAGTTTTTGTAACCTTCTAGTAAGCCATTTGGTGATCACAAACACAGTCATGAGTCTACGCAGCATACAGCTTATGAAACAAGTATGTATATTTGTAGGTCAGAGGAAAAGATTGCTTGTGTGTATGGTAGAGTCTGTAAGCATGGTTAACCAAATTAAGGGTCAAGTGTCTTAATTTTATACACAGGCTTAAATAGCCTGTATAAATAAATATTGTGAAGGACATTCAGTAGTCAGCTAGAACTGCTGTGAATGTGCATTTTTTTTTCTTCGAATTTACATTTACTTATTTGGTAGATGCTTTTGACCAGAGTGATAAGTTGAGGCAGATAATGACTTAAACGCTAACGTTTAAGTAACATAACGACTTAAAAGCTAAAGTAAAAAAATAACAGCACTGACATTCCTAAACACTGTAATTCAATGAACTGGCATCCAATCGAGTGTGCACCGATCCTAGTGCACTGTACTGCCTGGGATAGGCTCCAGCCACCCCACCCCAACCAATCTGAAGAAGCATGCATGTGTGTTATTCAATGACCAGCATCTAACCCAGGTTGTCTCCTGTGTCATGCTCTTTCATATTTAAATTTGATTTTTATAGAGTCATACAATGTGCCACCACTTATGGGGGAACTGGATGCCTTTACCAGGACTGCGTTGTGCTTTTTCAGCCTCTGGGGTGTGTAACTGCTATCATAGCTCATTGTATTTAATTCAACAACAACAACAACAAAAATAATATGATGCAAAATCAGCATCAGAGACTACAGGACATTTACAAAAAAAGGTGAAGCCATTTGGCCCCTCAAGCCCATCTCAGTGTGTCATATTCCTGCCCGTGTCTCTCCCTGTTATGGCCCTAACGAGCCACGTCTATCCCTCTCGTCTTGCCTCTCGTTCCTGACCCTCCTGTGGAAATCACTCCCAGTTGCATCTCGTTAGTTCCCTCGTTAGTTTCATGCATGGTTCAGATTACACTGGCTTTCAGGGGAGCCCTATTTTCTAGTGCGCATCACAACTTCCTAAGTCACATGCACACACATAGATATAAGTGCGCGGCAGCACGGTTAAAAATAGAAATACTACGAAAAACATTCTGCTATTACACCTGCAGGCAGTTAATTCCGTCAGTAATATTTCATACAAGCACCACATCAACATATCAAGAAGTTTAATAGCCTAGTCAGAGCAAACAAATCACAAAATCACAAAGTAAAGGAGCACAGGTGACATCTTTCTGTTCCTCACACACAGTCCTTTAAGAATGACACATCACTCGAACAAAAAAATCTGAGCTTCATTTAGCTAACTTGTTTTTAACCACAGTGAAATAAAACAGCTGTCTGCGGCTCACAGCTCTCTCTCTCCCTCTGGCCCTCTCTGTCGTACTGTTTGTTTTCTTAATGAACGTCTTCCATTCAAAAACCGCACCCACACATTGAGGAGTTAGGGTGCCTCTGTAAATCTAAAAATGCGAGTGTAGTGCTGCCACGTATGTATGTCGCACACAGCAGGAATTATTGGAGTCAGATGTTCAGAAAATAAAATGTAATGAGCGTATAAACACACAGCATTAACATATTTATACTATTTTTAATTTCAAGAAAATTAATGCATGGAAAATAAAATGTAACACAAAAGTGGACATTGTTTTAGAGGTGCCCCTGAATGTCTCATGGGGGATTTCAAGGGAGCTCATGTCCTTTTCGATTGAGCCAAGTTCCCCTTAGTTCCCCCGTAAATCGAACCATGGTCTCATATATATGTGCTTCCCAGTCCCATGTTCCCCAATCCGGTCATTGACGTCAAACCCTCTTGTTGCTTGTGCCCTTCCTTGCTCCCCTCTTTCCATTTTTGATCCCTCCTGATCCTTTTTGTCTCCAGTCTCTGTTCTTTTGAGTCAAATAAAACCTCTTTTGTTTTGCTACCACACCTGCCCTTGAGTCCTTCATCCCGTAATTTGTCACACAGTGATCTCTTTGCCGAGCAACGAACCCAACATGTACTGTATTTTGGTTTAGAAATTAGTATCACCAAAATTTGACTGTTTCATCCTGCTGCTCTGCCTGCTGACTGCCGCAGTGGTGTCGTGCTGAGTAGGTCTTTTTCCATGGCCACAAATCTTATCTGTGTTATTCTGGGGGATCCCTAGACGTTCCTAAGCCAGCTGGGAGATATAATCCCTCCAGGGTCTGCCCCGGGGCCTCTGCCCAGTGGGACATGCTTGGCACAGTCACTTGGGAGCCATCCAGGTGGCATCCTTATAAGATGCAAAAAAAAAACCTTCAACTAACTCCTCTCAATCCAAATGAGCAGTGGCTTTATGTGGAGCTCCAGCAACCCTTTGGAGGAACCTAATTTTGGCTGCTTGTACTTGCGACCTTGTTCTCTCAGTTATTCTGATACAATTCATGAAGTTAGGATAGGGATGTGGACTTAGTGGTAAAGCACAAGTCTTGTCTTATGACTTTCGCTCCCTCTTTATCACCACGGACATCCTCAGTGCCTGTAAATCTGAAGTTGCTGAGCCGATCTGCCTGTCAGCCACAAGCTCCCTCTTACCGTCACTCATGAACAAGAGGTACCAGAGGTACCTGAACTTCACTAAGGGGAAGACTCTCCTCTTTCACCTGAAAACAGCAATCCATCCTTTTCCTCACCTATACACATGGGCTATTGAATTAAAAACTTAAACTTTTAAACCCTTGTTTTCAGAAAGTAACTTGAGTGGTCTTCATTTCCAGGATAAATTGTGTGGACTGATATCAGTGTTAAAAGGAGGATCAGAAAGCACTGAGGTCTCTGTATCTGACCTGGAGTTGGTACATGGTGCAGTAGAGGTAAGATATATAAAATATTACGTTTCCATGCAATACTATATATATCGAACTTTAGCATATTCAGAAACTGGGATTTTGTGTTGGGATTTCATTTACAGAAGTACTGTGCACACCTCAAACAGTCTGCTGACAAGCAGAACGAAGAGACGGGGAAGAAAATAATGGATCTTTACAAACAGATGACTGAATGCATGGATGAAAATAAGACTTTCAAGCTGGAAATGGTACAGAGTCAGATTGGCACTATCAAAGAAAGCATGACATCAGCAAGGGAAGCTTTGGAGATGGAGCTGATGAAGATGGAGGAGGCTGTTCAAACAGCCAAAGCTCCTGTAAGTTTTGTATTAAAATCTTGCATTTGATGTATCATATAATAGCTGCACATTTTAGCCAGTCAAAAGTAACAGTGGAAGACAAGTAAAAAATGCAGGCCCATTCCAGTTCTAATTTCCTCCATATATTTTTCTGTGGAGCAACAGTTTTTAATGTCAGCTTGTAAAATTACCCCATAAATTGTTGCTAAAAGTAATTCTGTATGCCCAGTGATCCAGTGAATATCAACTTAAATCAGTTGCAAGAACAAAGAATTTCAGATGGATTCTTGTCCGTGTTACGAACTTCGAACAGATTATATGAAATTAAATTCCTATTGACCCTATTGATTTTGTACATAGATGATCAGAGTTCTGTATTCCTTATCTGTATTGTACTGAGGAGACTAAAATTTTTCCCTTTCTATGCCTCATTCTTTCACCAAGAAATTGGCAAAAGGTAATTGAAATGGGTGTTAAGAGGATCATTCTGCTTCTACACCGGTCATATGAAAAGACATGGGACACCTGCGGATACCAGAGAGACTGAGTGGTTTGAGGAGAATGATGTGTGACACCGTGACCATCCCTGTCACCAGATCTCAAGCCAGGGTTGAGAGATTTTGGGGGAACAGCTGGGGAAATGTGTTCTTCTACTGTCAACCAAGCAACACAGAATGGAATTTCTCATGGAGCAAACCTGAGTCCCCCAGCGCATGTAAGGCGGTTGCTCCGTAGAGGTAGAGGAGGTCAAACCTCCTCTTTTTTGAGATTAAATTATGAAACAAGTAACTCTGAAATAACTAAAATGTTATTGTAATTTAAAAAGCTCATTAAGAACATAATTCACCATTGCAGTATTGTTAGCCACCAGCTGCCACTGATGCTGACGATCATTGTAGCTGGGGGCTTTTTGCTGGCCCAGCAACGTGTTAAAATTTGATGTTTGTGCTTTAATTTGACAGTTATGTCCACATTTTATATGCATACCGCATGTAGCAAGTAAAGATAAACAAAACATTCAAAATCTGGTGGTGGCCCGAAAGAAATTGGAACATAATTGAACTGGTCTGGGTTGGGGGCCCAGTTTGATATGCTTCCCTGGCACACCTATGATACAGTATTTGTGTGTGATGGTATAATTTACACTGTTGTGCAATTTGTACCCGCCTTCTCAATTGGAAAGTTTGGTTTGGATTAGGGCTGCACGATATCTGTAAAATTCCAAATGTGGCAATGTGATTTTTTTGGGGATAAATATTGCATTATTTATAAACCAAAAATAAACTACAGCCTAATAGTCTGTCAAAGAAGTCGGTGGTGTTGCCGCGACTTGTGCCGACACAAAGCAGTACTGATAAATCACTTGCTTTTGTTCAATATCATCTCTGTGGAATGCAAAATATTTCCATACAGTGGAAGTCGAATGTGTTTTGGTGACCAGTTCTTGTTTGCTCATATTTGTTTACTTTCCCACAAACGCACAACACTGTCTCTGAGTGAGTCAAACAGCAAGGATGAAAATTATTATGATTGGCTCGTGCAAAAGTAGCAGCGGTAAACTTTACAATTTTAAACATATAATAGATAATCTTGAAAAAGAACAATAATTTGAATGGCAAAACTTGCTAAGTTTAGCTTTCTGTGACAAAATAACCGAAAAAATACCATATACCAGCCTACATTGTCTGGACTGTATGAAAAATTAGATACTGCCCAAACCTGATCTCAACCCAACTGACTATCGTGGTCCTTACAATGTGACAATAATAATAATTAGAACAATAATACACAAGAAAACTTTGCATTACAGAGCCTCTAGAACAGGGGTCTCCAACTCCGGTCCTGGAGAGCTACTATCCAGTAGGTTTTCTGTCCCACCTGGCTTCTGATGAACCACACCTGCTCCTGGTATTTACCTGAGAACAGGTGTGGTTCATCAGAAGCTGGGTAGGATAGAAAACCAGCTGGACGGTAGCTCTCCAGGACCGGAGTTGGAGACCCCTGCTCTAGAATGACTCTAGAATAAGTCTGTAAAATGGGAAAAAAAACAGATGAAATATATGTCAAAGGAACGTTTCTAATCAGAGCGATGTGTAAGAAAACAGAAGAATAAATAATGAAATAATGTAGCTTCATTGTGGGGAGGTTGAGTGAATGTGTGAATTCCACTGATAAAAAAAATTAAAAATTACCTGCTGCAGCCTTATTTACAGTCTTTGAAATGGAGGAATTTGTTTGTATACAACAGGATATCCAGGCAATTGATAACAAGTCTTAACATATGTTAAACTTGCTTGTAATTACAATAAATTTGACTTTGCAACACACAAATACTGCTGTATTGCATTATTATGCCTTTAATCTATGTCGATAGTAATCCCAGTGTCCCACCATATCAGGTACTGTGTCTGACAGGTCCCTCATCCATAATGTCTTTACATGTCATTTTCTTGAATTGTGTGACAAGATACACTTAAGCATCATGGAGATATAGAACATCCGTCATGTTAACTGTTAATGCAGACCAGACGTCTGGTTAAAAAAGTCTATTCATCAGTGAGACAGTCCCCTTATCCTTCATTCACATTAGGGTTAAAAGTGAGTATCTTTGTTGATATCGGGTCACATATTCATGCCTTGGAACATTCTGGCATTTCCAGGTGCCCGAACAAATCTTGTGGATGCTTATAAAAAAAAAATCTAACAGAAGGTTAAAGGGGAAAGAGGAGTTTTATTGTAGATTTGCAGCAGCACTGGTCCTAGTCAGAACCTTCACAGAAGATTATCTACTGACAATTTTCATGCGGAGGGAACTTAGCAGTGGTCGGATTAGTTACTACACCATGCAGCATGTGTGCTGTTTGTTTCATCGTGTGGTCATTTATTCTTTTAAGGATGTTTTTTAAGCACTGCCATTGCCTCACCTAAATTGGGGTGATGAAATTTTTAGCACTGATATTGCCGTGTTGCTGTTTAATAGAAGACCAAACCATCACACAGCTGATACATACTGTATCTCTAAAATCTGTCTTGTTGGACAGATACAGGCTATCAGTAATTTCAATAATTTCAGTATTTGTAATGTAGTTTTTATCAAGTCCCATCAATAACTACGTTTCATTTTCCTTTTGAACTCTTGCATAGCTGCTAATTACATGCAAGGATTTAAGATGGTGTGAGGTATGAGCATTTTGTCAAGTTAATGAAGTCAAAGCACACTAGAGGGTATGATATGACAAATCTTCCATGTGAACTTTAAAGGATGCTTAGAATAAAGAACATGATTTGCAGGCAAAGAACATAGTTTGGTGCTTTATGTTGTGAAAGATGAAGAGAAGGAAGTTGATCAAATTTTATAGTGCCACAAATAGTCTATGAAGATTTGCAAGATGAGCTACTAGCACAAAGTTACTTTGGGGGAACCTGAGAGTGATAGAAGCATGTAGCACTGAAATGTACATCTAGTTCCTCAAATTGGGGAGGAGCTTAAGTTTCTGTTTTCTTCTCTAAATTAAAATACAGTTTTAACTTAAATTCCCATTTGATGTACAGAGTAAGTGTTTGGGTAGGAAGACTGGTCAAAGCAAATGATGTCAGTACTGTCAAACTCTGCAGTGCCTTTTGACAGGAGTCCTTGACTGAAGAAGCTGACTCCCTTTAAACTGCTTAGTGGTTTGTTTCAGTTTAAGGTTATACATTGCAGAGTTTATGGAGCACCTGCATTAATTCAGAGAATGATGGATGCAGCACTGCTTTCAGAAGGTGACTATGGTGTAATCTGTAACAATAGTTGTAATATGTTTAGTCCATTATGGGATCGTATTCATTTTCAGGAAGACCTTCTTAGACACTGGATCAAAGCAGGTCTAATCAAGGAATGTCGTGGTCAGCATTCCACCCTCCTCTATACATTTCTGCATTCATTCAACTGCTTTGTTCCTTCTGACCACAATCAACAAACAATAAAGATAAATGTATTAGTGCATGGACACCAGCTGCCGTGTCTCTGCATATGAAACCTGAAACAACATTACGGATACATGTGTAATCTCCTACTCACATAACTCCTGGAGAATGTGGATCACATTCCGCTCCTGTCGTGATTTCGTGTCTCTGACACTGCAAAGCAGATTCTTAAGCGACGTTATGACCTATACTCCCCACATAAGAACTTCTCAATGACGGTCAAGCCTGTGTAAAATAATATACATATACTGTTATATAAACAACTGTGAAGTAATATGTTCCCACTCATTCTCCTACACCTCTCCATTTACTCCTAAATAACACAGAGGTGACCTGTGAAGGGAGACATGCTTTGTTTCTCTTACTGTATATGATTTTTTTTATCATCCAAAGGAGTAGAATTAGTAAGAAAAGGTATGTATGACAAGACAGCCCCTTATTATGATGTCATAAATTACTATAGCAGTGTCTGTTTGGATGACAATGTTTATTTTACTCCATTCTGCTGCTATCGTTTGTTGCATGCCGCTGCCTTACTGTACTTAATTATAACTGTGTCAGTATTGGGTGAGGCTTAATTAGGCGATTCCTCTAAATAATAGAGCTTTCCACATACTTTTGTCCATTTAGTGTGTATGTAATATTGCATGAGAGATTAAACAAAGAAATAACAACCCAAATACATTATTCATGTTTACCATATATGACTGATTTATCACATTTGACCTACTGTATATGAAGTATACAGTCAAGACCATAAATATTTGGACACTGACAAAAGTTTTACTATTTTACCTGTATACTGAAATATATTCCAATTTAAGTTATACAATGGGAATGGACATAAAGTGCAGACTCTCAGATTTCATTTTAGGAACTCAGTATACAGGTGAATCAGGCCATCCTTAGGCTGCGAAAACAGAAAAAAACAATTTGAGAAATTGCCACAACATTAGGAGTGGCAAAATCCACTCTGTGGTACACCTTGAGAAAGAAAGAAAGCATTGGTGAACTCAGCAACACAAAAAGGCCTGGACATCCACGGATGACAACAGTGGTAGATGATCGCAGAATCATTTCCATGATGAAGAGAAACCCCTTCGTAACAGCCAACCAAGTGAACAACACTCTCCAGGAGGTAGGCGTATCAATATCCAAGTCTACCATAAAGAGAAGACTGCATGAAAGCAAATACAGAGGGTTCACTGATGCAAGCCACTCATAAGCCTTAAGAATAGAAAGGCGAGATTGGACTTTGCAAAAAAACATCTAAAAAAGCGAGCACAGTTCTGGAACAGCATTCTTTGGACAGATGAAACCAAGATCAACCTGAATCAGAATGATGGAAAGAAAAAAGTATGGAGAAGGGTTGGAACAGCTTATGATCCAAAGAACTGCGCATCATCTGTAAGGCATGCTGGAGGCAGTGTGATGGCTTGGGCGTGCATGGCTGCCAGTGGCTGCCAGTGGCACTGGGTCTTTAGTGTTTATTGATGATGTGACACAGGATGGAAGCACCTGAATGAATGCTGAGGTGTTCAGAGACATCATATCTGCTCAAATCCAGCCAAATGCAGCCAAATTGATTGGGCGGCGTTTCATACTACAGATGGACAATGATCTAAAACACACAGAGTCTACTGTAGGTCTCTGCTTGAGGGCCCCCTTCTCCAAATACATCCAGCAATTAAGACGTCAACAAGGTCGAGAGAGTCCAAGTGAAAAAGCAGAAACAAATGGAGTATGATTTAGTCACTTTGGACACAATCATCGATCTTATAACATACAGTATAATGGACATTCATGTTAATATACAGTTTTCATGTATATGCATTGCAAGTGCTTTATAGTTCTCTTTAGTTCCTTAAAAGCCACTTTGGCATTGTCTGTATCTCTGTCTACTTCCTTTTGGAAGTCCAAAGAATGGTGATTAAATATACATTAAACATTTTATGGAAAAATTTTTGGAGAAAAATGAAAGTTTTTTCATGCTCTGTCTGCTGGGGTGCTGTAATTTTCTTGCATTCCCTTGTGAAACTTCAGCTTTCAGTCGGGGGTTGATGAGGGACAGTGGATTTGGCAGAAAGTGCTTGATTATGTATATGCACCTGACAACTCGAAGGTATTCACATCCTGTTTGGTTAGAAAGTGGCCTCATTCTTGCTGCTTTCACTTGAAAACATACAAAATGGGATGATGTTGGCTGTACAGAATGCTGTAGCATAAACACCTCATTCATCTGAGTGTTTTACAATAATAATAAAAAAGCAAAATAATAAAATTTAGGTAAAAACAGCATTTTCCGCTGCTTTGTCATTGGTTTGTTCAGTATCTGTGTCTGTCCATAAAACAGGGATTGTGTCATTAATTTAGGCTGCTCAATTAGATGATGAGAAGTGGGTAAATTATTCAATAATTTATTTAAATATTTAAACAAATTTGATTAAATAAATCATTTATGTAATGTATTATTTATCTGTGAAAGGCTCAGTGGGCTGCAGTATTGCTTCACACCTTCAGGGTTGGGGGTCCCACTTGCTCTTTGTCTATGTGCAGTTCTGGTCCAGCGCATGTAGTGCCCAAGTGACCTCCACCACCGCCCTGCTGCGTGCACCGTCCTGACCTCCGCCCAGCTGCGTTCACCGTCCTGACCACCGCCCCGCTGCGTTCACCGTCCTGACCACCCCCCTGCTGCGTTCACCGTCCTGACCACCGCCCCGCTGCGTGCATGATCTGACCTTCACCACCGCCCTGCTGCGAGGATCGTCCTTCACCACCGCCCCGCTGCGAGGATCGTCCTGACCACCGCCCCGCTGCGAGGATCGTCCTGACCACCGCCCCGCTGCGTTCACCGTCCTGACCACCCCCTGCTGCGTACACCGTCCTGACCACCGCCCCGCTGCGTGCACCGTCCTGACCACCG